GCCGTCGTCCTCGCCGACTCCCTCTCGCACGCGCGGCGTGGCGCGCAGCCATCCGCTCACGCCTCGTCAACGCTTCGGCCGTTCGCGCGTTGAGCGAGCTGTGGCCGGCCGACTAGGCGCGCAGCTGGCCGTGCTCAGGCTCAGCCACTCGGCGGGGCTCCTCAAGCAAGCCCACCCCCCGCCCCCTCCCCCCCCGCGCCGGAGTCCGCCCGACGCCGCGCGGGTGGCGGCGGCCTTCGAGCAGCTCCGCTCCTCTGGGTTCGCGCGGCGGAACGGGCTCCGTCTCGAGCGGCTGCAGGAGGAGACGCGCAAGGCGAAGGCGGCGGGCGGAGGCGGCGGAGGCGGAGGCGGAGGCGAGGGCGGAGGCGGAGGCGAGGGCGGAGGCGGAGGCGGAGGCGGAGGCGGAGGCGGAGGCGGAGGCGGAGGCGACGGCGGCGCGCAGGAGGTGAAGGAGGACGATCACCACTCGAGCATTGTGCGCGGGCGGCAGGCGAGCGAGCGGGGACTCGCACAAGGAGGTGAGTCCAGCCGGTCACACACTGGGGGCTGACTGGTTGAATTGGAACTTAGGCGGGCGAGTGGTGGTCTCGCGCGGCGGCGGAGGGCAAGGCCGCCGTGGAGGGCAAGCTCCGCATCGGGGGCCAGCGCCACTGTTGTCCTCCTATGGTGACCCGCAAGACGCTGATTACTAATGGGTTCACTGGTCCATACCAGGCCAGCGCCACTTCTACCTTGAGACCAACACCGCGCTCGCCCTGCCGGTCGAGGGAGGCTGCCTCTCCATCACCGATACCGATCAGTTCGTTAAGAGGAGCCCGTTCATTATTGTAGGTCGAGGGAGGCGGCCTCTCCATCACCTGCGCCAACCAGAACCCAACCCGCACGCAGACGGCGGTGGCGGGTGCGCTCGGCCTCCCCCTCGCCACGGTGGACGTGCGCGTGCGCCGTATCGGCGGCGCGTACGGCGGCAAGCTCAACGCGCACCTCCCGACGGCCATCGCCGCGGCCGTCGCCGCCGCCAAGCACGGCCGCCCCGTGCGGCTGCACAACGACCGTTCGGACGACATGGCGTCGACGGGCGGCCGGCCGCCGATGGAGGGCTCCTTCCGGCTCGCGGTGGACCAGGGTGGCGTACCATCCTCTCTCGAGCTCCCCGCAGCGCCGCGACACGTCCGGGACATGTCCGCGACATGTCCCGACAGGCGGCGTCGTCTCGTCAATCGAGCTCACCGCGGCGTTCGACTCTGGCGTCGTCGACGGCGGCGCAGGTGACCTGACGACGGGAGTTATATTATATTATTATTATTATTATTTATTATTATTGGTGCTCGACAGGCGACCTGACGACGGGCGCCTGCTCTGACTCGTGGCGAAGGACGAACAGTCAGTCAATTGGTGCTCGATAGGCGACCTGACGATGGGAGTATTAATTAATATATTATATATTATTAATTAATAATTGGTGCTCGACAGGCGACCTGACGATGGGAGTCTGCTAATAATAATAAATATAATAATAATAATAATAATTGGTGCTCGACAGGCGACCTGACGATGGGAGTCTGCTGGGCGGACAACGCGTACCGCGCCGACGACTTCGCGGTGCACGGCTCGTTCTACAACTCCGGCGTCGTAGGCAGCGCCGCGTGCTTCCCCGGGGGGGTGGTGCAGTCTCGGGCAGTCTCGCGCAATCTCGCCTCGTCCCACACGTAGGCAGCACCGCGTGCCGAGCTCCCGGCGTCGTGCAGACCATCCCGCTGCACGAGTTGGCGATGGAGGCTGCGGCCGAGGCGGTCGGCCTGCCGGCGGACGCGGTGCGCGAGGCCAACCTGTACGCCACGGGGGACGCGGCCCTCTGCGGCGTCACCGTGGGCGAGAACGGCTTCAACTGGAACCTGCCGGCGATGTGGCAGTCCGCGAAGGCGCGGTGGGAGGTTGCGGCGCGGCGCGAGCAGGCGGGGGCTCGAAAACCGCGCCCCAACCTATTGCAATCGCATTGACTCGCATTACTCGCCATGGACTCGCATTACTCACCATGGATTCGCATTCCTCGGCATGGATTCGCATTGGCCAGCATTGATTAGCATTGGTTGGCGTGAGCAGGTTGAGGCGTTCAACCGCTCCAACCGGTGGCGCAAGCGCGGGCTGAGGATGGTCCCCGTCAAGTACGGCATCGAGGACAACGGAGGCGCGTACAAGGAGGGCTGCTCGCTCGGCGTGCTGGCGGACGGGTCCGTCCGGCTGGCCCACGGAGGGTGCGAGCTAGGGCAGGGCATCCACACTAAGGCGGCGCAGGCGGCCGCCTTCGCCCTCGGCTGCCCGCTCGGCGGCGTGTCTGTGTCGGACACCTCGTCGCTCGCCACGCCCGGCTCGGCCGACACGGGCGGCTCTGCCACCTCGGAGTGCGTCGTCAAGGCGCGCTGCTGGACGCCTGACTAGCGCCTGACCAGCCCCTCCCTTCACACCCCGGAGTGCGTCGCCAAGGCCGTGCTGGACGCGGCGGAGACGCTCAACGCGCGCCTGCTCCCCTTCCGGCCGGCGGCTGGCGGGGCGGGGGAGGGCGCGTGGGAGGCCACCGTCAAAGCGGCGACCGACGCGGGCGACTCCCTTGTGGGGGGAGCGGCTGGGGTCGAGGGAAAGGCGCCCGCGGGGAAGGGGGAGGGTGTGAGTAGGCGTGTCCCTCGCGGCGAGCGGCTGGTTCGGCGGGGCCGCGCCCGAGGGGGTGCCCAAGTTCGACTACGCAACCTCGGGCGTGGCGTGCTGCGAGGCGGAGAGCGCGACCCGCCGTCGGTGACCCAGTGCCGAGTAGTGCTGAGTAGTGCTGATTAATCTGCGAGGTCGAGATCGACGCGCTGTCTGGCGAGACCTGCATCCTGCGCGCCGACCTGCTCATGGACCAGGGGACGCCCCTCAACCCGGAGATCGACCTCGGGCAAGTCGAGGGGGGCTTCGTCATGGCGCTCGGCCTCTTCTTCTCCGAGGCCGTCTCCCGCCCGCCGAGCGATTCCTCTCCATCATTCCCTGTCATTAACCGGCGTTGCTCTTACTTCCCCGAGGTCGTCTCCCACTCGCCGAGCGGCGCGCCGACGACGCTCGGCACGTGGGAGTACAAGGTGCACCTCCGAGACACCTCCGAGACACCTCCGAGACACCTCCGAGACACCTCCGAGACACCTCCGAGACACCTCCGACACACCTCCGAGACACCTCCGAGACACCTCCGATTCCCCACGCTCGGCACGGGGGGAGCACAGGTGCCGGCTGTGCACGACATCCCCCTTGAGCTCAACGTCTCCTTCCTGCCGCGCGCGCCCAACCCGGCCCCGGGCGCGACGCTGCACTCCAAGGCGTCTGCGGAGCCGCCGATGGCGCTGGCCGCCGCCGCCTTCCTCGCCGCACGCGCCGCGATCCTCGCGGCGCGCGCCGACGCGGGAGACGCGTCCAAGCAGCCTCCGCTGCACGTCGATGCGCCGCTGACTCCGGCGGCCGTCCAGGCGGCGTGCCTCGTCGACACGTCGCAGTTCGTCCTCCGGTAGTCGCGGGGCAAACTCGGGGAATCTCGCAGCTTCGTCGACGCGCCGCAGTTGTGTCCCTCCAGAGAGGGGCGCGCGCGGGCGGGGAGGGGGTGCGTGTGCCAGCAGGGCGGCCGAGCCGGGCCACCGCTGGCAAGGGGGGGTGCCAGAGACGGGCGGCGCACGGAAGGAAGGGAGGGGAGGTAGCGCGGGGCCGGGGGGGGGGGGGGGGGAGGCTGGACGTTTGAGAGATGGGCCAGGTCTGGCTGCTGATTCATAGCACACCTATGGAGACGCTTGTGTGTATGTGCCTGTGTGTGTGCTTGCGTGTTTTGTGGGCGGCTTCCGTCGTCACGCTGCCGACACCGCGATCGCGGCGTTTCGAGTGTGAGCGCCTTCGTCTCTTTATGTTTAACAAGGCAGTTCATGGATCATGCGAGTGCAGTGTGTGCAGTAACTGAACTACAAGCTAAGGCCGTACTACAAGAAAGATACCTATGATGTATCTTATTCCGGGGCCGGTGGGAGGGAGTGTGTGTGCGCGCGCGCATTGTGGCTATGTGCACATTGACATTGACATTGACATTGACATTGATTTGTGCGCATTGTGGCAGGACTGCTGCTGCTGATGGGAAGTGTGCTCTGTGTGTGGCGCTGCGCTGGCGTGCGACGCGCGCGTGCTGTGCACGTGTGCGTGTTGGGGTCGCGCGCGCGTCTGGGTGTGCTGCGCGCGCGCCGCCGGTGTGTGCTGTGTGCTGTACTCTGCTGTGCGCCCTGTTTGTGCAGCTTTGAGGCGCAGGCTTGGCTGGCGCCGGGGCTGCGCGGTGTCTGCGTGACGAGGGCGGGCGCGCAGGAAAAAGAATACGAGAATGCAGCTGCGAGACGTCTATAAAGAAACAGCGGGGTAAAGTTCGGCGGCTATGATAACCGAAAGTTGTCGTAAAACGCGGCGAAAGCAAAGTAGCGGGCACGTCGCTTCGCGCGCGGCTAACTATGCTCGTGGATCTCAACGACGATACGTTGATGCTCGTGGACCTAGATGACGGAGGCGAGGACTCGCTGTTGGGAGCGATCGTGGAGGTGCTGGCCGAGTCTGACCTCGCTTCCGCGGTCGCCCTCAAACGATGCAGCAGCCGCTTCAAGGACCTCGCCGCCCCGCTGGTGGCAAACGCCGTGGAAAGGACGGAGGAGAAGTGGCGGGAGGCGGCAGCCAAAATCGGCGGCCGAGGCGCTGCAACGATCACAGGCGGGCTCGAGCGCAGCGAGGTGCTCACCGACCTCAAGTTCGGCAACAACCAGATCCGCGACGAGGGCGCCGCTGCGATCGCCGAGGCGCTGCGCAGCAACGCGGTGCTGACCGAGCTCGACTTGTCGGGCAGCCTACTTGGCGGCGGCGGCATTGGCGACGAGGGTGCCAAGGCGCTAGCATCCGCTCTTCGCGTCAATGGGGTGCTCACCGACCTCAACCTCGGCTCCAACCAGATCCGCGACGAGGGCGCCGCTGCGATCGCCGAGGCGCTACGCGGCAACGAGGTATTGACCTCCTTGGACGTGGGCGACAACAGCCTGACCGAGGAGGCGGCCCTCAGCATCGTACGTGTCGAGCGGCAGCGCAACAAGCTCACCTCGCTGTTCTTGGGTAGCTGTGGCATCGGCCCGAATGGCGCAGCGGAGATCGCCGAGTACATGTACGTGTCGGGCAGCGGGGTGCTGACCACCCTCAACCTCCGCTACAACGGCATCGGCGCCGAGGGTGCCAAGGCGCTGGCCTCCGCTCTGCGCGTCAACGGGGTGCTGACCTCCTTGGATGTGCGCGGCAACAAGATCGGTCCCACCGGCGCCACCGCGATCGCCGACGCCCTCAAGGGCAGCGCGGTGCTGACCGACCTGAACCTCTTCGACAACAGCTTCGGCGACGAGGGTGCCAAGGCGCTAGCATCCGCTCTTCGCGTTAACGCGGTGCTGACCAAATTGAACCTCTGCAACAACGGCATCGGCCCCGAGGGCGCCAAGGCGATCGGCAAGGCGCTCGCGGTCAACGGGGTGCTCACCGACCTCAACCTCAGCTACAACCAGATCCGCGACGAGGGCGCCGCTGCAATCGCCGAGGCGCTGCGCGGCAACGAGGTGATGAAAACACTCGACCTCTCCGGCAACCGCATCAGCGACGCCGGCGCCAAGGCGATCGCCGAGGCGCTGCGCGGCAACGGGGTGCTGAAAAGCATCGACCTCCGCTCCAACCGTTTGGGCGACGAGGGAGAGAGAGTGGTTCGGGATGCGGTGAGCTGGCGGGAAGGGCTCAAGCTCCGGGAATGGTTCGGGCGCGCCCACCCCGGTCGGCGCGCTGCCCGGCGCGACGGTGGCGGACACGACGGTCACCGCGGGCGTCATCATGCCCACGCAGCTGCCCGGCAACTCCTCCAAGCTGCAGTTAGTTGGCTTTGGCGACACGAGCGCGTGCGGCAGTAACGGCGGGTTGCAAAAGATGCCCGACTTTGGCCTGGGCCAGCTGTCTTTCGAGCTCTTTGACTCGAACGTCAGCCCGCTCGGCGCGGCACCGGATCGTTGCCCCTGCCCGCCTCGCTCAACACGGCCCTCCCATCGGCGGGCGCCACGGCACTCCAAGGCTTTGACGGATCCACACGGAAGCAACTGTCGAACAAGCAGCTTCGTTTGGGAGCAGGCCATGGGCCATACAACATCGATGTGCGAGAGGTGAGTCCCCTCTATGTCTCATGTCTCTATGTGGTATGTGGTCAGTGTTGTCGAGTGACCCATCCCTGTCCGACCTTCTGGTAGGATTCTCCTCTTTTACATCGAGACCTCACACAAGAGCAAGACACAACCCCAACCGCTAACTTTTAGTCTGTTCTCTTTACCAGGGACCTCTTGTGGCTTGGCCAAAGCACAGGTCGTCGATCCAATCAATACCGAGACGGCGGGCACGTCGCCCCAGGCAGGGCCCGCCCCCATGGCGCGCGGAGCTATGACAGGGTAAACCGTATTGCAATTGTACATTATCTCTACGTAGGACGACAGAGGACGACAGAGGACGACGGCACGCGGCTGCGCTCACAGTCGTACCAAAGATGCTAGCAGGCCTTGGCAACGCGACTGCAGCGTGGGCAAAGTGGTACCCAAATGCCGGGCAGGTCCGGACCATCCAACCCTCAGAGAGGAGGGAGCGCCCTCCTCCGTCCGTGTGGTGTGTTCTGCCGGCTCGCGGGGTCATGTTTGCTCCGGCTCATCAGACTCGCACTGCCCTCCGCCAAAGTCATAGAGGGCAGGCGCAGCTCTTTGGAGGAAAAAGTGAGCTGTCGCAGCGCCGAAGTCCGCGTCTGGTCGCCGACAGCGCGTGCGAGCAGCAGCAGGCTTGCGGGCCGATAGATGCCTTCTTTGAGCGGCACCGCAACCTCCGCGTAGACCTGAGAGACAGAGGTGGAGGCGAGTCGATGGCACTATGCTACGCGCTGATGATGCAGCGAGAGCGCGGGGACTCACCTGTCGCTGAAGCAGCTCGATGGGGGTCGCGCCATCCACGCAGTCGAGGAGGTCGTCGAACTTGACGCCGGCGTGGCTGCCCGCCATGTACTCAAACGGCTCGCTCTCGTGAACCAGAAGCAGGTGAACGCGCCCGGCCAGGGCGGCCTTCACGTCGCTTGAGAGCGCGGCTATCCGCTGGTCATCGTCCGTCCAGGTGCGCTTGTCGAGGTACAGCAGCATGTGGCTGCAGGCCGTGAGGTCGGCGACGGAGGTCGTCACTTCGAGCTCTATGTCGAGGTGCTGCAGCAGGCAAGACAGCTCCTGGGTGAGCTCGAGCGCGCCGGGGTTGTGTGGGCTGGCGTAGATTCGAAATCTCTCTCCAGCGCGGAGCCTCTGCCAGGTGAAGCCAATGCCGGCTCGCGTGTACAGCCTCGTCGAAGCCGCCGCGCCAGGCTCAGCAGCAGCCTGCATCATCTCGATTGCGCGCTCGAGCGCCTCCGGGGAGAGACTCGCTTTCCCGTCTGCGCGACCAAGCCCCTTCTGCGCCCAAGACGGGACAGATTGCAAGATGAGCGCCTTGGGCTGAACCAGCATCTCGACTGTGCGCTGGAGCGCCTCCGGGGAGAGATTCGCTTTCCCGTCTGCGCTTGGTCGCAACATGGGCGCCTTGGGCTGAACCAGCGGTGTCACGCACGCCTGCAAAGTGACGTTCATGAAAGCTGGGACACGAGTCCACAGGAGAGGCTGTGCTGTCAGCGCAGCAAAGATGTCGGCCGTGGTCGGGACCTCTGCGCCCCAGGCCGCCAAGTCGCCGTCGAGACCCCACCTCGAAAGGTTCAGGCAAGCTGCTTCGATCGCTGCTCGGAGCACACCTTTGTCCATGTAGACGCTGCGCTCATCGTAGACGGTGATAACGATTTTTTGCAGGCTCATCGCCCGAAGCAGTTCGCGCACGGTGTTGGGGCGCGTGAGGTAGCCATCCGACAAAAAGACGACGAGAATCTTGGACATAGCAACTTCGGCTGCGCCTCGCCCGGACGCCAAGTCGTCCACGTCGAGAAAGATCTTCGTGTCCGGCAAGAGATTGAGCAGCCGTTCCTTCATCACTCGGACAGCATCCTGTCCGGAAAGCCACGAATGGGACAGAAAGAGATGATACTTGTTGCCGTCTGTGAGCGGCTCCAGCTGCACGGGCTGTCCCGTTGAGAGATATCTCAGCCACTGCTGTCTTGTCCGTTCGTGCTCGCGCTTACGCCGACGGCGCCACTCTCGAACGGCGACCCAAATCACGACGACGGGTGTCAACGACGAAAGCAAGACGATCACGACGAGTACGCCAGTGCTCAAAGGCGGCTCGGGGGGAGGTGCTGGCGGCGGAGGCGGCGGAGGCGGTGGAGGAGGGGAGGAGTGCTGTGGCACCTCCGTCGATCCCCCGGAGAAGACGAGAGCGCCAACGTCTGGCAGCTGCAGTGTCGAGGTTGCGGTAGAGTAGCTGCCCACGATTGAGAACTCAAGCAACGAACGCGGCAGAAGTACCGAGCTAAGGCGGCGCCCTGACTGAGAGGCTTCGGTGAGCAGCCGGTAGTTGAGCACCTCCAAGGTACCGAGTCGATCTCCGCTGTCGTCGAAAACAAGAGGCCCGCTCAGCCCCGTCACGGTGTCAGCTGCCAGCATCGTCGCGTACAGCGCATCTGCGTCTCCTGGCCGTGAGCCGTTGCGGATCGCAGCATCGGCAGAGACTGCGAGCTTGATCACTGCATCCACGCGCATTGCCGTGTAATCGGGAAGCGTCGAGGCGTCGTCGTCGTGGTCGCAGAAGGGTCGGGACTGCGGGCTCATGTTGGTGCAGCCCTGACTGCTCGACACCTCATCCCACAGCGCCTGATACTTTAGGCTGAGGTCGGAGGCGCTGCTCACGCCGGATGACTCGATGACTCCGAGCACCCCTCCGAGCCATGCACAGCGGACGAGTTCACCGAGCCATCTGCATTGTAGAGGGCTTCCTCAGCCGGAAGCACGTTGAGCCAAGCGTAGCCCGGCCCCCAAAGCCGACCTTCGTCATAGGAGGCAGCAAACACAGCCCGCTGCGCATCCGGGTAGGCGGCGAGGAGGATGATTTGGCAGTCTTCGAGCTGGTCGAGCAGGTCGCTCCCTGTCAAGTTGCCGCCGTCAAAAGCTGCCTTGGAAAATTCCGCCGTGCCATTGTTTACGATTTTCCCACCTGAGCTCTCAAAGATTGAGGTGAAAGACTGCATGACCCCGCGTCCCCATAGACCGTCGTCATGGAGCACGCAAATGGCTTGCCATCCCAGCCGCTCTGCGAGTGCTGCAACGGCAGACTGTATGTGCTTGTCGTTGCTCGAGAGGCGCAACAGGTTCGGGTATGCGCCCACGTTCGCCAAGATCGGAGCCGTCGACGACGGCGAGAGCACGACGGTAGAGACGTCGGCTCCAGCGCGCCACTCGGCGGCTGTCACAGCAGCCACGTCATCCGAACAGAACGGGCCGATGGTGGCGACTACTCCATTCAAGTCGGAGTACAGCTGATCGAACTGGCTTCGAATGGCCTCAGACTCGGCACAGCCGGTGGTCCCTGTCTGAACCATAGAGTAGAAGAGCGTGTGATCCGGAAGTAAGTCGTCTAGGAAGCCGTCCTTCTTGTCATTGATCCGGTCAATGATGTGCATCACATGCTGGCACTCCGACTCGCCAACATGATCATCACAAAAGACTCCGACGCGCAGCGTGTCGCCCACGAGTTCTGGCGGCTTGCTGTTGTCGGGCGTTGGCCTCGTCAGCGCCTGACCGTTGCCGGCAAAGCTCTGCTCCCAGTTGTCGGCCGGCTGCCAGGTGCCCAGCTTGACCCACGCGCCTGACGCGTTTACGTTCATCACGTCGTAAAGGACGCCACCCGCGCGGTCGCCGAGGGTGGCCGGCTCGGACGAGAAGGAGACTTTGCCCGTCACGCCGTCGAACCGGACGGCGAGAAGGGCCGCCATCAAAGCGTCGCCGTCGATACGCTGAACCAACGGGTCGTCCACCAGCGCTTGGACTGCGTGCGCCACAGCGTACACAGCGTCGTAAGCTCTCGGGGCATAGACGCTCTCGGGAAACTGATTGTTGGCACCGAAGCAGCGTGGCGCTCTATCCTCATCCGTATCAACTGACCAGAGTTTGTGCCCCTCGTCGTCGTCTGCCGGGTCGCAATTTGTCCCGTCGCCGAGCGTGGATGGCCGTGCGCGCTTGCGAGAGGCGTAGCCGTCGTACGCCACGCTTGGCGCGATTGAGTTTGTGATCGCGAGTATTCCGCGGAAATCGTCCACGGGGAGGCCACGGCCGGCCAGCGAGCCCAGCCCTTCGAACAGACCGATGTCGCCAACCCAGGTGAATTCAGGGCCGACGAGCCGTGCACCGAGGGCTTGCTCCAAAAGGCGATCTGCATCCTCTGCAAGAGCAATGGCGACAAAGACGGTCGCACACGAGGCGCGCAAAGCACCGAGGGGCTCGCCGAGGTTGCTCTGACCGTTTTCGAAGCGGACGGACTCAATGATGGTGATTCCTTGAGCAGACGCAGCCGCCTCAAAGGCCGCCACGCCGGCGGTGCAGTATGCGTCCGTGCACGCAATGGTGGCCACGCGCTTGACGCCGAGGAGATTTCGAGTGGCCTCAGCCAAAGCCACAGCCATGAGGGAGTCAGAGGTGACAACCCGCGCAAAGAAGGGAAAGTCGTCGCCGCTCAATTCCGGGCTCTGAGAGGAGTGAGAGACCTAATAGCAGTTGAGTCAGCAACCGTTATAGACTGCATAAGCAACACTCACACGGTCCTCTTAGAGTGAGTACCTGCGGGGTGGCCGTCAGCTCCGCCAGCCTCGCAGCGGGGATGGACGCGCTTGAGCAGTATGCACCAACCAGCGCGTCGCAGCCGGCGCCGTCGAACGCGTGGTGCAGTAGCTGGTAGGCCGCGTCGCTGCCGAATGCCGGGTCGCAGCGCGAGTCGCGGTGTGCGAGCAAAAGCTGCGTGTTTGGAAGCAGATCGTCCGCCACGCCGTCTGTCTTGTTGTTGATTTCCTCGATTGCCATGAGCACGGACGTCAGCTCCTCTGCCCGACCCAGGTGCATCAACTCGCCGCTTGGCAGCTGCCGCGGCAAGAGGGCGCCGATTCGCACAACTGCAAAGGGCGGCGGCGGCGGATAACTCGGCGGCGTTGGCGAATACTCCGGCTCGCAATGAATCCAATTTCCGCCGTACAAGCCAGTGTTGATGCCTGAGTCAGGGTCAGGGTCGGCGCACGGCAGCGACTCGACGACGCACCACGGTGGGTACGGTCCGTCGCACGCAACCGGCGGGCAACCGAACTGCGGCTCCCTGCAAGCGTGGCCGCTGTCTGGATCCGTCCAATTCAAAGCACAGGTGCACGGCTCAGTCGCCGCCGGTGCCGCCGGCACGAGGGTGAGAACGGCGAACATAGACTGGGGGGGGTGCAGGAGGTTGGCACGCCGTGCACAGCGGGATTTTTTTTTTCTATTTTTGTTCCGCTCCCATTTACTTTTCCTGTTTTTTTAACTTTTCTTTTTCTCTTTACTTCTCTTCGTCTTCGACTGCACGGGTTGGCCTTAAAGAAAGAAAGAAAACAGACAACCCAAGGGAGGGATGGGAGGACGGCACGCCGCCACCACACAGGGATTTTAAGGAGAGGTGTGTGATGCGCTAGCCGTCGCCCACCCTTGGGCGTCCGCCTCTTCCTATCTCTCTTCGCAGTCTCTCGCCGCTTCTCGCTGCAACCTTCATGCCACCTCGCGGTCGTCCCACTCTCGTCGTTCTCTCCCTTGTCATTTCCTCCTCTGTCGCGTCGTTCTCTTCTGTCTCGTCCTGCGACGCCGCCGCCTGCCGGTCCCTTGTTCTCGCGGCTTCTTTCGCCTTTCGGCGCAACTCCGTCCTCCTCGCGGCGTATCCTGGCCCCTCGAGTCTATCGAGCTCCCCTCGCGCAAGGACCACATTTCTGACTCCCACTCCGAGCATTTGCCTGCAGGTCATGTTGTTGCTCAGGTCCACTCTCTCTTCGAACACTCGTGCCTCTACGGATGATGCCGGCGCTGGGGTCCCCTTCGGATGCATCGTGACATCTGACAACTGAATTTCCACTGGTTCGTCCTCCTCGGAGTCGTCTTCCCCCGCTGCCTTCCGCTCAGCTCTACGTTCGGTACGTTCGGTGTGGCTCACCCTCCATGCCGTGAACAGGCGCTTTATCCACCCTATATTCTTCTCTCGTTCCTCTGCCCGTGCCTTGGTCTTGTCGTTGTTCCGCACCCATGTCTGTATGGCAATCGAGGCTGCCTTCCCCACTACCTGTAGTTCACTCGTCACCTCTCCCGCCCGCGAGCTCCCCTCTCTTTCTTTCGGGTATGGATTCCGTGAGTGCGGGTAGCGTGCAGGCAATCACGGGCGCTATTTTGTCGTGGTTGGCCTTTATACGTATCTTCCGATTGTA